AAAACTAATAGAAGTTTTGTATAATAGACTATTTTAAAATATTTTACAAAGTTTATAAATTATCTAAAAAGAAAACTAACTTTTTAAACTAAAATTTTTTTAGATTAAGATAAAATTAAACTGATAGTTAATAGATTAATCATTAAATTAAACCATTGAAAAAATAGAGTGCAAAACTAATTGAATCTTCTTTTTTGTTTCCCAAAACACACCATAAAAATCTATGTAAAAAAACCTCTCAACAAATCTAATGCACTAAAATCATTGTAACAAGTGTACTAGTTGTTATAAGTAATATAGTGATGAAAAGAGTGTCAAATCCATGAGAATTGTGATTAATTAAGTACCAAAATAATTAATCTAAACTTATTTGAACAATAAAAAAGGAAAAAATTTTAATAAAAAGAAAATAACAATTAAAATAAAATTAATCAAGATATAAGGTATTAAGGCATCGACTTCACCATAATCAAATTAATATAAATTCTAGATTAACATACTTCCAAAACCAATTTGTTGGGTGTTATTGCATGTGATGGTGGATTCCCCTAAATTAACTAACTAGTTTTTTCAAGTCAAGTTAATTTTTTACTTGTTTGTTAAATTAGTCATATCTCTATATAATTTAAAATAAACTAGTTAGTATTAAATTCTATGAAAATTTCTAGCTTAAAGAAGGGGAGCTCCTAACTCTCATTCTCTTCCTTCACTGTCATATGTGACACTAATTACCTCTCGGTCTCATAGTCTGATACACGATTTATACTATTATTGATTTAATTTACGCAATTCTTTTTCAAATTCATGCATAAATCGTTAAATCAATTAAAAGTTGATCAAGCTTCCAATGCATTAAATTCAATAACATAAACTCATCATACAAATAATTTTAATTAAAAATATAAAAATCACAAAATCTATATTAAATTGATTAGGTTACATTGTAACCTCAGTAAAATAAATTAGTTCATAATAAAAGTGATAAGCTCCCCCAATTCTAAATTTAGATGGGTGTTTATAGGATTTTAGAAAGCCTATTTGGATTAAAAGTGAGACCCACACCCAAAATAATAAATTAGACATGGATTTTCTAAGAATGGCATTAGGGATTTTCTAAGAATGGCATTAGGAATCAACACCTTCGACAAGGTACCTACAACTTCTATTAAGTGCAAACTGATATCATCGTGTTGGGGTTTTGGCCTTCTAAGCAATTTCTATTAATGGTAAAATGATAGTTTTGGGCCCTAACCTTTGAACTCCATATAACTTAATCCTCAGCTTTTTGATCTCTGCAATTTGCTCTTAAGAATTATGATTTTTTTTCAATTAAGTATTTTCCTGCATAAAAAAATAAAAATGATTTAAAATTAAATAAAATCTTATAAAATTCACCCACATATCCATAATATCAAGGTAAAAATTTCATATTAATATTTATATAAATTTAACTTATCAAAATCAAACCAAAAGAGAGATGAGAAAAAAATTGTAGAAGAGAAAACACCACTTACCCTCTCTCTGGCATTCCTTCACTCTCTGAACACTTCTCCCTCTCACAAGTTAAATTATAATAAATTAATAAAATGTTAATCAAACTAAATAACATTTATATAACATTAAACAAAATGAGGTGTAACATCTGCCAGTCCCATGTTGCACGGAAAGAGTATTAAGCAGTGGAAAGACTAAAATGAAATGACCCAAACACGTACACGGCAACTTCCCAGTCTTGTGGATTCTTGATTTCAGAAAAATGTTC